GACATTGGACATTGTGTCCATGGACTGTCCATGTCCAATAATTTGCTTGGACATATGTCCATGTACAACACTGAGTATAGATACTTTGTTACGTAATTGTCACACTGACTGGTCACGCCAGAATTTGTAGGAAACCGGGAATGACATCATCATTATCTAATTACCCAATTTAGCCAATTACTTTCTCGAAAATGCCCTTTTTCCTGACTATAAATTGGTAGATTCCACTATATTAACATAAATTACTACAGTGGTCGAGGAAAAGATTCGGAAAAATGTACAACAAATTTTTTCCGTATTTTAAGAATGGCTAAACCATTTTTTAGATAGTTAAACATTGCTATAAATAGCTTACAGTAGTAACCATTACTTCGATTCATACTTAAAATAAATGCTAATTTTCATAGCATTTATTGAAAACAGATTCATAAAAATAACTGCATTGGACTACAGTAACAAAACAATTGCTTAATTGTACTATCTTTCGACTCTAATTTAATATTTGCCACTGTTTAACAGTCATATTTCGAGAATGGCTAATCTATTTTTGATCGTCCTCGAACTTAAACAAATCCTACAGTTTGTAGCATTCGTTTGAGCACAAAAATCATTAAAATTTGATCATCCATTCTCAAAGTTGTAAAATTGTACACAATTATTTCCAGATCTTTCCGCGACCACTGTACCATCTCGAACACAATATTAGTAGATCCATTACGTTAACTTCACCTGAATTTAGAAGTGATTACGATGCGTCAACAGAAATAGAAGGTTTTTTAAAAGAACTCAAGCTCGAGGTCTACAACACGAGAACAAGTATAAACCGTAAAAAGGGAAAATCGGTTTGTGATATAAAGCTTCAACCTAGCTAGATAGGGGTAAGCTCGCTCCGATCTTAAACCCCTAAACACATAACGAACAATAAATATTTTTGCGTTTGTTTATAATTTAATAAATATTTGTAGGCAAATTAAATATTTTAATTCTAGTATTAGCCAATAGGTTTGCTGTGATTAAAGCAAATTATGAATGTCGACATCGATATGCGCTACACGTAACTATGGTTATGACGCGACATTAATAAAATGTCGTTGCAGTGAGTTATACCAAAAATGACAGGTTTGAAAATTTTTACTATATCCAGTTCCGAAGTTATGGGTATTTGCTTTGATTACAGCAAAGCAGTAAACATGTAAAAAAAAAAAAAACAATAACAAATACCACTTTCTCAAATAAATCTGAATTTTGTAAAATAATATATCATTAATTTTGTAGCTTCGGATCGTTGAAGGAATTATGGTGAACTTTGGCAAAATCAGTTCATTGCGAATGTTTAGCTATTTGTATTTAATATTTCTTTTTTTTTCTGATAAATTTTATATTATTAGAAAATCATGGAAAGCTAACATAAATCTTCATGGCCTAAAACGTTATTTACTCCACAAACATTACATATTTGGTACGAATTATTTTTACGTATCGTTATGAGATCATAACACAAAATTTGATTCGCCATGTTCAACGTATGTGTTTACATCATTTGTTTGATCAAAGAAATTAAAGTTAATTTTAAATACGTAGCGTTATGGGGCTGATCCTTTTTCCATAATTATAAAAACACATGGTACACCAATAATCACAAGGGGAAAAGCAGCCCTTCAATATGATCGAAGCTGGACGCTTATGGTAAAGTAGATTCACAATAAAGTCATCATTGTGATCATAGTGCTTGATATGATTTTGAGTATATAACGAATATCAGATTAGTTAAAATGATTTAAAGAAGCACTGTTGGAAAAAAAAAAAAAAGACAAAAAAAAATCAAAAAAAAAGGAAAAAAATCAAAAAAATCAAAAAAAAACACTTGTAATCATGACGGACGAATATATGCCTCCAGACGTCGAGGATGAAAGCGAATATGAAAGCGAGTATGAAAGCGAATATGAAAGCGATTCACCCCCTGAAACATCAACCCGCAATCCTAAAAAATCGAGGAAAAGTAATAGGTCACATGGTGGGATCCTAGGTTTTGGCTCTTTGCGAGGTTCAAAGGGCCATTCGTCGGGCAAGAAAAAGGCTGCACAACACGCTGGCCGGAAACCAGCACATAAAAAGCAACGCCGCCGTCGAAAAGCCGCTGCTGGCGCTCCAAAAAGAAATGAATCAAAGCGGATTATTCCCAAAATTGTTGTTCGAAATCCTACTCGTAAGATTGCTAGTATGTTTAAAAAACCAAATATATTTAATGAAGGATTTTTGGCTCCACCAGCTCAATCGAAACAAAAAATGTCAAAAGAGAAGGACAAAAATAAGGAACATGAAAAAGAAGATAGAATTTTGGCGTCATTTTCGTTACCATCTCATTCGGCTCCTCGTATAGTTGACAAAAATAGCAGCCTTATTGGAGCACTTAATATTCAAGGATTTGGACCTAAAAAATTCTCTAATAGTACTGTAATGAGATTTATTATAGACATCCTTCGACGATATGATATTGTGCTTTGTCAAGAAGTTCACGTAGCAAGAGGTAAAGAAGGAATGATTAGTCAACTTGCTAAATCATTATCAACATCTTCTACTCCATATTCTTATGTGTTGAGTCAACCTCTTGGTAGAGGTACGCATACAGAAAGATACCTTTATTTGTATAGACAGAATGAATGGAAAGTATTAGATGCCTATACTGTTGATGATAAAAGAGATATATTCATTAGAGATCCTTACGTTGTCCGATTCCAACATTTACAAAAGCCCAATGTGAAAGTCACCCTTGTTGGTTGTCACACACAACCAACTAATGCATTTAATGAAATAAAAGGGTTAGCGACTATTGTATATCGTGATGTGAAAAAGAAATCAAAAAGAACTAATAAACGAGAAATAAGAAAGAGCCATGCCAGAGGAACTGGTGGATTTAAAAATATTTTATGGCGTTATTTAGGTGGTTGCTTTGATTGTTTGGATCTTGATACAAATGAATTATCAGAAGAACATGAACGATCTGCGGCTTCAGAACCTGTTGTTATAATGGGTGATTTTAATGCATCAGGTTCTTATGTCGTAAAAAAAGATCAATCAAAGCTTGATGAAATATTGCGTCAAAACAACTTGGTTTGGGGAATTCAACATTCAGATGACACCAATGTTGCCACAGGAGATAACGCTTATGATCGGTTTATATTTGAGAAGGAAAGTAAGCAAAGATGGATTGGACCTAGTCGTGTATGGGTATTTGACCAGGCTTGGATAAATAAAACAGGGGATGAGAATATGGTCAAGAATGTAGCAAAACGCATCACAGACCATTATCCTATTGAATTTGAGCTGAAGCTTTAGTTTTTTTATCGGTTTGTAATTATTTCGTATTTTCTACAGTGGGAACTAATACACTCCCACTCGGCAATAACGACCAGTATTAATTTTAGATTATAGAAATTATGACTATTTACAAATCAACTGGAACTTCAACTTCATACCGGAGTAATTTCACGTTCGAAAAATAAAATAGAGATAACGTTCATGTTTAGGTCACTAAGTCTAGATTAATTGTAGGTTCTGGGAGAAACTAATTTGTCATATCGATAAAGTCTAGGTCTTAAATATTAAGTATATAGATGTATTAAAGTTAGATAGTTTATTTATTTATTTATTATATTTATTTTATATAAGTTATAATACATCATGAATTCATATGAGATTATTGGTAATATTGCCAATTAGAAAAATTTTATCAAATTTCCGTTTTTATCAGCAATAATATTTGTAATGACACAATTAACATTGATAATAAATTATTTATTTTTTGATATTAATTAATTATTGTACAATGACTATCGTGCTTCAAGTTTCTTTATATCGTCAAATAAATCTAAAATTGTTGCCGCTGACC